CCAAATTGCAAGTTTCATGGAGAGGGTAAATTTACCTTTTCATTAATTATTAAAAGTTCATATTGTCAAAACGTGGGTTAAAAACCTGCCAGATCTTACTAGGGAGCCACTAACTAAGGCAACTGAGAGACTGGACTGGTTAAAGGGTAATCATCTTTGGTTGAGGTCTCATGAAATGTACTAGCTCATCACCCTATTGCTCACCGCCTTCATTGTAAGTCTTCTCACACTGAGTTTACAGCTCCTTTCTGCACCCTCCCTCTTGGCTGGGTAGAGGCTACCTGGGAATATCCAGATGTAAAAGTTCATCAAGCTACTCATTAACGATCTGTGTATTTTACTAATGTAAAAGATTTTTCATAATCAAGGGGAGGCCCTTGATTGTGACGATAACTGCTGTAAAGATACTTGTTCACCATGTCCTAAGAATATACACTGTAGCTGCCACCATTTAAAGCACCTGCCCCAACCTGAGGGCCAAGATCATGGCTTCTACTTCCGAGATCACCTGCTTTCCATTATGTCTTAGGCTTGCAGCAGACAATGCTACCTGACCAACACCGTGATGGGAAGTCCTGTGCCATTAATGGCTCACTCTTGGAGAAAACACCCTTACTAAAGTCACAGGGGACAGAGTTGGGCACTTTGGAGAAAAGTAGGCCTTGACCTCCAAAGACATTAATCATACAAACTCAACCCAATGAAGATATCTTATTTAATCCTCTAACATCTGGTTTTATCTGGGGACAGGGTCTCATGTTGCCCAGCATTCACTCAAATGACCCTTCTGCCTCAGCCTCAAATAGCTGGGACTATAGGTGCACATCATCATGTGCAGATAATACCTGGTAATATTATGCTAAATAAATGTACATGTGCTAGGAGTGCTCTGCTGGGTGTCCAGTTATTTGGAAAGGAGTAGGAAAAAGAAACCATGTCTTTTTCACTTCTTGTATATGGCCATTGGTACTTAGAGTTCATCCACTATTTTTCATTCTTGTAGAGCATAATGTCCTGCCTAACTGACTTTATTTTCTTCTTTGGGACATTTTCTCTGGGGTCATTGTGTATACGTCAGTCCATTTCCCCCCATCTTCTTCCCTTCACAGCTCCTCCCTCACTTGCTTCTATGAGCCTGGAAACTGATGCATGCCTTCTGTCACCCAATCCAGAGACTTTCACAGGAACTGTAACCTGTCCCCCTTCTAAAGATCTCAGTGCAAGGACCTCGATTTGCTGGATGCTTGTCCATTGTTTGGGCTATTCAGCAGTGACCTTGCTATGTTTTATCATCCCAATTTCTAACAGTGGTCTTCACAATCGTAGCAGGTAGTTAAATTAACAAGGGATCATTTTAGAGGCCTACATACAAGTTTCAGCTCTAAGGAGCAGCGGTCCATGGCTGTGTGTTACACTCTAGGCCTCCCTGGGTCTACCTAGAACAATTCTAAAGAATGCAGAGGAGCTCCCAAATCAGCTAATGAAACCCAACCAGTTGACTTTCATGGGTAATAGGGTGTAAATGGAGTGAAATGGTGTGGCTTTGAGGGATAAAGCCCTGATAATTGGCTAGCATGGCATGCCTACACTTAAGCATGGTGCATCTATCTGTCTGTAGAACTGTTACTGTTTCTCCTTACTTTTCTCTTAGGTGATGCACTTAGAGTTCCTGGGTCAAATGTGGATCACTTTGAACAAGCAAGCTGATTTGTAAATCTGTTCCTCAGACAGATTACAACAATGACGTTCTATACTTGGAGTGCTGGGAATCACAGGAGAGACAACCACTAAGAGATCTTCTTAGTGACAGAGATCCACTGACCAAGACTCCAGGGTCACACAAACTAACACCTGAATTCTCTACACCAGGCCTCCACCACCACACCTTCTCAAGGAGCTGCACTGACTATCAGTGGGAGGGGATGGGAGAGGGAGCAGACCCTGTGAAATTGTTGTTTTGCTGTTGTGGCCTTCCTATGCAGAGTGCTGTTCAAATGCCAATAAATGTATATCTAGGGACATAAGCACAGTCAGCCCCTCCTTTATGTACTCTATAGTGCATACATGTGTGCTCAGATGGATGGGGCAGAATTTAGATGGTGGCTAGCTGAATGGATACACAGGTGACAGAGTAGTGACAAGGAGTAGACAAGAAAGGAAGCAATCAAAAAACAACTCTGAAGTGCCAAGTAAGATACTGTGGCAAACACTGAAAGCAATGTAACACTTTCCTTAATGAGATTTGTTAATAGTTTCTCAAATTTAACCAAATGGGATTTATACAGATGCATTACAAGGATGATGTTTACGTTTTTTTCCAAGCTTGGAACACCTCCAATTCTGAAAGTTTGCACCATAGACTTAGACTTTTTCAAATATCGGTATGACTTGTAAGGCAACCACATTTTTTTAAATGTAAATTAAATCTTTGTGCTCATATTAAAGTAGAAAACACCAAGAAACTTCACTTTATTTTCTAAATTTCATTTTTAAAAAGTTCAATAATATCTGCATGATTTTAGCTGATCTAAAGTTTACTAAAATCAATTCATGCCAATACAATATAAATACCACATCTGAGTATTTGCTGAATGTCCATATAGTTAACAAGGCATAAAAATTTTCACTGCAAGTACCATGAACTACAAGATATAATGCTTAAAATATTTCCAAATCACAAATCTCCTAAGGAATGTGTTATTTTACCTTTTCATTCATAATTAAGGGTCTATTATTAACACAAAGATTAAAAACTTGTCAAATGTTACCTATAGGATTAGACAATAAAAGTTGGATTGATTAAATGATAATGAGCCTTAATAAACTGGAATTATGAAATATAACCTATCATGTCTACCCTGACTTCCTCCCTGACTTATCAGCCTCTCTTCTGTACCAGCTCCCTTGGTTTTCATGCCTCAGCACTTCTCCATTTTCCCTCTTTCCCTGCAGATTTTGCCTGGGAATTTTTTTCAGAGCACTGGATGCTCTTCTAAAACCAGCAGGAAATTGCTGCTGCTGGGGGAACTTCCTACCAGGGCTAGGCTTTTCCCTGCATTGTGTAATTGTGTATCTCTCTCTCTCTCTCTCTCTCTGTGTGTGTGTGTGTGTGTGTGTGTGTAGTGCAGGCTGCTGAGAACAGATCCCAAACCTTGGGCCACACACCCTTGTGGTGAGTAAACCCACAACCTCCTTATACCTCCTATTTGCATTCCAGTTCACAAAGCCATTTCAACACTAGCTAGCAATTCTTAAGCCTGCTGTTACACCAGGGATTCACCTCATTCATCACTGAACCAGCTGTCTTTTGAGGGCCACAGCAGGAGATAGAGGAGTGTTCCTTAGTCAGGGCTCGGTTCACCTTGAAGGGGTATATGCTTTCCAACTTATACTCTGGAGAACAAACTGATGGGAAGTAGGTTGGAGTTACAAAGGTACAAGGAGCTGGGTTCAGATCCTCTTGCAGAAGTAATCAGGTGTATGACTTTGGACAATTTAACTAGTTTCCTTAAATCTGTTCCTTCCTCTGTAAAATGGGGATAACAAAACCTACCTTACATGGTTGGGGAGCTTTTGTAGAAATAATGAAGGTAATACACAAAGGCAATGTCTACTACATAAAGTACCTAATGAATGTGAAGCCTTCGTGCTTGGAAGTGGAATGGGCTGGTGATTAAGAGCCTGGGGTCTGGGGCTGGACTTGGGCTCAAATCCTTCCCCTTCCATGAATAGCTGAGGGCATCTGATAACTTATGCAAACTTCTCTGACAGCTTCTCTATCATTAAAATGAAATTTCAGTACAACACATAGTAGACATCTAATAAATTTGACTTTTTTCCATTTCACGAGGAATAAAAATAGCTTATTTCTACTTCAACCAATGATGCAGTGAGTTAAATGAGACTTCAGTACAATGTGTTTTCTGTTTTTTATTTTTAACTCATGAAGACTTTGTATGCACTTAGGAATTCTGGGGCAGAGTCAAGTCGAGATGCTATGGGTGGGGCTAAACTGTCATATAAGAAAAAACTCAAAGAGGGGAGTATAAACCACCCACCAGGGAGCGATTTCTTTTGTAACTCACATTCCATTTCTTCTCCCTCATGCTTTTTAATTCCTTCCACATTTCCTGCCATAATTATCAAATGTTTAGTTTCTGACCTCACTTTTCTGGAGACTACAGCCCAGGGAATTTAGAATTGTTTATTTTCTGTCCATAAACCTTTGAGTTAATGGAAGGGCTTGTGAGCAGAGGGTTTGTTGGTTTGTTTGTAGTGTCCCAGGAAGGTCACTGGAGTTGAAAAGAAAACAATACAAAAAAGAAAAAAAAAGTACCAAAAAAAAAAAAGCAAACTGAAAAGGCAGAGCCCCCAAAGGCAGAGCCATGGATTTCTTACACTTGCACAACGTTAGTTTAAGGAAAATTTTAGACTTATAAAGGCTGTTATATGGCAGATAATAACAAAAAAATCCCAAGGCACTTTACAAAGAAGAAAATAAATTACAGAGAATCATCGCCTAACTTTAACTTTATAAAAGAGAAAGGAATTTTTACTGTGCTCCAAAAGAAGCGCTTGATCTTCCCCCCCAACTCGACCCGCCCCGCTGCCCAGGAGAGACTTGGAAAGGAAAAGTCCTCAACTATTCTCAATTTCCTCTGGAGTGAAAGGAAGAACTCAAGGCGCCTTTTTGAACTCAGCTGCAGCTCTCCCCACCGCCTGGGTCCCAATCCGCCTCGTCTGTCCCATCTCCCCTTCTCCATCCTTCTTCCATATTAGGAGCGGTGAGGCTCCCCTGACGGCCCAACTTCTCCTGATTCTGAGATTTAAGTCTGGTAAGCTGGATTCCTGCTCCGAGCGCCCCTGATGAGCTCCACTCCACCCAAGTCTTGGAAACTCCCAGTCTCACCCCGGAGTGCATCCCCAGGACGCACGCTCGGCACCCCGGGACGAGGATCGTGGCCCTAGGATCCGCGGTCGGACTTTAGTCTCTCACCTACCTCGGCGTGGACCCAGGCGACGGCCACCAGCGCGAGAGGGAGCCAGAATTTCCACATCTGAGGAAGAGAGAAGAGAGCGAGACTGAAGGCGCTGGGCCCCGGGCCGACCCAGGAAACTTCGGGTCCCGCAGGCTCGTCCCCTCCGCCCAAGCACCCTTGGCCACCGAAGTGGCCCGGCCACCTCACCCCGCACCCCGCGCTCACCATGATCGGTCCAAGGCTCCGGAGGGCGCGGGGCACGGCAGCCGCAGCGAGCTCCAGGCGAAGGTGGGAACCTCGCCGATCGCCAGCCTCGGAGGAAATCCGACCTGGGCTCGCCGCCCCTTAAGACCCCTCCTTCCCCCGCCGCCTGCCCCCCAGCTCCTCCCCATTCTCCTCCCCCTTCTGCAGCAGCGGCCCCAGCGGCTCGGGCCCCCTCCCTCCTCCCGCCCCGGGTTGCCCCTGTGCGTCCTGGCGCGGCCGGAACCCCTCTCCCCGCGCCGCCCCGCCAAGCAGCCCTCGGGCCCGCAGGACGCAGAGGCGAAGGCAAAGCGGAGTGTCCCGGGGGCGCTGCAACAAAGGCGGACCCGGGAAACAGCCGAAACCCCACCCCCGGGAGGGCGGCTGGCCTGCGGCAGCCGGGACGCCAGCGGGCGCGGGCTGCGGCGGTGGCCAGGTGGGCGGTACCGCGGGCGTGGGGCGGCCAAGGCTGGGACCCCGCCGCCCAAGCAGCCCCCGCCTCCACCGCTGAAAGAGGGGTTCAGCGGCCCTCGCAGCCGGGGGACGAGGGTCACTGTAGCCAGGGGCAGGGAAGCGGGCCCAGGGGCCGGAGACCCTCCTGTGGCAGAAGGCAGATTGGGTTCAACTGTGGATTTCCTAGGAGAGGGTGTAGGGTGCGGCCGACCTGCTCTGCTGAGAAGATCGAGTCCAGGTTGTCTGGTCCAGGAGCCTTGTCCGCCTTCTCTCCTCCGCCCTCTCCTCACCTGTGCTTCTGCCCCGGTTATCCCAGATAGCCTCCCATGGCCAACTTCTAGAGGAACTTCAAAGATGATAGTGCTGTCCCCCGAAATTATGGTGTCTTTCCAGCCATGAGTCCCCTCTCACCGGTGCCAGAACGAATCGACTTGGTACCTCATATTTAAAGGCTCTAGGGCTTTTTCCTCTACTTCTTTCAGTAGTTACCTCAAAAACCTATCTCCTTTAACCAGAGACCGTTGTCAGTATAGGTGGCAGTTTTCCTCCTGAGATTTCCTTTGCATACCTCCACTCGTATTCACATGTTCGTATGTTCACTTCCCTAGGCCAGACCTTCATCTCCCTCATTCAGGAATTCTGGAAACCACCTCTGGTTGTGCTTGGCCCCAGCTCCACTCACCTTTCTGTCACCACTGCTGTGCCTTGCCACATTCTCTCACTACTTGGTTTAGACATTATTTTCCTCCCCTTCTTCCTCCACTGACAGACTTTCCACCCTCTTCTCCTACAGTGCAACCTTATCCTGTCTTCATCTACATGGCCATACTCCCTCTGCTCTAATCAGGCCATGAACTCATCACGGTCACTCTTTACCAAGGTTTGTTGAGTGCGTACTGTTGAGGTTTTAGGGAGCTTCAAAATAACATTCATGTTCCCAAGCATGTCAAGAATCTATTGAGCTAGTGTTGGTAGTAACACTGATGAAGAGAAAAACCTTGGCTTTATTCCTGATGTAAGCTAGAATAACGACCATGACTTTAGAGCTGGAGAGCAATGGGCCCACTAGTACTGCACCCCAGAACTGAACATGCCCGCCCAACACACATACTATCACAGGCAGAGTTGGAAAACTTGCTTGTGCAAAATGGGCCATGTAGGAAAGCAGAAACATATACTTCTGGGACAGACCTGCTCCCTAAACTTGAGCGGGGAGAGCAGCACACTCCTGCTCCCTTATTATGGTAACAGGATGAATAAATGTCCCCAACCAGCTACTCTTCCCCAATCACTGTGCTAGGATTGAAGAGCTGAACACTGATATATAAAGTCTGGCTTCTGTCCTCTGATAACTCACAATACTTTGTGTGGCTTGCACAGCACTGTACCCCTTAAAGCTGGCATTCCTCCCTTGCTCTGTTTGTCTATTGAAATTCTGTTTTGTCATCATTGGTGTTTTCAGAATCCCTAAAAAGTTCTATGGCATCGCTAGCACCTTTTCTGACAACAGCTTGGCAGAGTAGAAAGTACATGAGGTTTGAGGTCAAAGCAACCTGTCCTCTTGCTGCTATTTACTAACTGCTTAACCTTCCTCAAATTACTTCGGCTTTGGGAACTTAGGGTTCTGAATCTGACAAATGGCGATGATAATGCCCTTCAGGGGATTGTGAAATTTAAATAGATACATTATGAAGAGTCCCTGGCAGGTAGATTCTAGGCCTCTATAAATGGTAGCCATTATTATTTCATTGATCTGCTGTGCACCCTAATTGCATCTGGCACTCTGTGCCAGATAGTATGAGAGCCATCCAAAATGTCTTATTTAGTTGTCACAACAAATTGAAAGATATTTTCTTATTCCTTCCATTCTTAAATGAGAAAACTAAAACTCAGAAAAATTCAGATACTTTCCCAAGGTTATAGAGCTTCACCATTTGGCATTTTATTGCATACTGTTATACTGTGTTTAACACTTACTCCCATACTTGTCTTTGATTCAGAGTATGGTTAACTCTCTACAATCCACAAACAAAAATAACAAAAGGAACTGCAGGAAGGAGTTGGCAGCTGTACCAGTGAAGGATGCTTTGGTTTCAGGTGACAGAGAAGCCAATTTAAATTACATGGCTGTGCAAGGAAATTGAATTTTTTGACTTGCATAGCTGAGAAGTCCAGGGATAAGACTAGGTTGAGGTAATCCTTCAGCTGGGAGTTCAAATGAGGTCACCAAAGATGAATTTCTTGCCATCTCTTGCTTCAGCAGACTCACTCTATCTCTAGGTTCCCCAGAGTGGCTCCTTGGAACTCCTGTAGGCTTTAAGGATGGTGAACTGATTTGTGTAGGGTGGTCTCTGTATGTGAGGGAGGTAGCTTTTTTCTGGGGCTGCTACAGAAGTCCTAATATATACTTTTTTAAAGATCAAATTGAGTTTCTTGACACCTGCAAACTGACCACAGTGATTGGCTGATGGGAATTCAGCCAACGAGAACCTACCCTTGGAGCCTTCCAAAAGACCAGGCTACTGTTGGCAGAAAAAAACAGGGGATGGAGACTGATGATAGCCAAACAATGTCCACTATAGTAGTGAGTCAACATCTTACACTGAAATCAGTGCTCTCCAAAGAAGGATGTGGGGCCTCCAGAAGGTTGGAAGAGAATATTAGAACTTCAGTTTGTACTTATTTCCTATCTAAAAATGGAAATCTTTACCAGTATGTACACTGGCGCCCAAATTTGTTTGGTATGTCAGGCAGTCATGAGTTAAACACCATTTGCCAAACACCATGAGGAGAGAGTGGGTGTTCTTCCCCACAAAGGGACTGATAGCAGCTAGTCCCTTTAGCAGACTATGATGTACTGCAGTGTGCCCACTTAAGTGGATTTCTATATGATATTATCTAGTTTTAACTAAACTTGATTAAAACCATTGCAGCTAAATAATCACAGACTGAGCGTGAAGCCTTTTCTTATCAGTAAGAAAAGAGTAGAGCTGCTTCCCCCCTTCTGAAAAGAGATTGCTGTCTGCCACATAACAGTAAAAACGGCAATCAATAAAAAAATTCAGAAGTAGCAATAAGGCTATTTTAAATTATGGATTCAGGGACCACTTTAGCTCAGTGGCAGAGTACTTGTCTAACATGTACTTGTTGACACCCTGGGTTCGATTCTCACAGCACACAAAAAAAATAAAAATATGGATTTGTATTCCTTATGACTTGTGTCATCCGCATAGGATGCCTAAGGTAGTGGTTTACAGTACTTAGAATCAGCAAGACCTTTAGAAGCAGGTATCTGCAATATAAAGGCAAATCCTATCATTTTTTTCTGGTGATGTTTAAAGATATATATTACTCAATTTAGGACTTTAGAAAATTTCATTCAATTCACTAAATGTTTAGAGACTTTCTTTTAAGTTTCTTAATGGCAAAAGATGAACCCTTTGGGGGAAATAATTAGTATCTGCTTTAATCAGGAATAATAGAAATAGTATGGGAAGAACAGAATGACAAGCTAAAATGCATCCTTCGGTCAGCACATACACTTGGGATTGATCTGTACATATATATGTACACATAGACAGATAGACAGATAGATAAATAGACAACTAGCTAGACAGACAGACAGTTGGACCTTCCTATCCTGGGGTTTTACATCCACAGATTCAACTAACAGCAAACAGAAAATATTCAGAAAAAAATTGTACTTGTAATGAACCAGTGCAGACTTTTATCCATGTCACTATTCCCTAGACAATGTAGTAGAACAACTATGGCATTTACATTTTATTGGGTATTATAAGTATAATTTAAAGTATATGGGAAGATGTGTGATAGGTTGTATATAAATACTACACCATTTTATATAAGGGACTTAAGCGTCATTGGATTTTGGTACCTTCGGGGTGTCTTGGACACCAGGATATCAAGAGTTGACTGTGTATGTATTGTTGTAGATTACCAGAAAAATCCAAGCAAACAAGTATTAAGCAAATTACACCATGTAGAAAATTTGCTGCATAGTGAATGATAATATAGCTGAATCAAATGTTCTTAGATTATTACATTGTCTGTTTCAGTGATGAAATACAAAAAGAATTTGTTTTGTGAGCAACTAAGATAGCTATATATCAGGAGAGAATCATTCTTAATAATATATTTCATCTTTAATGAAAATTATTTTCTGGAAGAACTGTCCACAGGAGTGACTGTTTTGAATGGGGATGAAGAAGGGTTCTGAGTAAGGGTCCACAGCCAGGCTCATAGTGAACCCTTCACACATTGAAATATAGCAGAGTATTTATAACTCTTAATAATGACCTGGGAACTGACTGAAACTATTTTCTTCCCGCTGAAGCTCACAGATGATCTTAGTACAGAGGCCTTAAATGTTATCAAACTTGTAAATATACATCTTTGTTTGAAATAAAGGCAATTGTTCCCATTTGCTGTCTTTATGGGACAAGAAGGAGAAGGCTACCTATCCTACCTATCAGATTAAAACAAATCCACATCCACTTATCACATATCATATCAGGATAGATTATGATGCTAATAAGGACTGAAACAGCATTTACCTTTTTAAGAGAAATGTGCTCTGCATGTAAGTAAATGTAAAAACGATAAAATAAAAAAATTTAAAAGAT